TGGCAATACAAAGGAAACCCCATCTGGGCTTCCAAAATGTGGCAAGACGTCGTCACCACCCGGGTAAAGAAGCTGATCGTGAGAGTCCACCGTGTAGACGCACACGTGCCTAAGAGTTGAGCTAACAAGGAACATCGTAACAACAGACAGACTGAACTGCCCAAGTCAAGCTGTCACAGGTAGATCCAGATTGGCAGCACGAGGGAGAGTTGTTCCTACCTCAATGAGCCCACAATGCCTCAGGTCATCAGAGCAGAGATGCCACCCACAGATGAGGGAGGGATGGATATAACCGAGGACATTATCTCCCAGGTTATCCACAATTGTGAGACATGCGCTGCAATCAAGCAGGCTAAGAGGGTAAAGCCTCTATGGGTAAAGCCTACTACATTACACTGCCGCAGACCCACCAAGGTAAGCGCTGTGTCCTGGGATGCTGTTCTACAAGTACTGCCAAGTAAGCACATGCAAGGGGTCACCCTCTTGTTGCTCCCTTCTTGTACCAGATGTAACTTCCATACACCATTGTTTTGCAGCAGTGCTTTAGAAGGGCTGCTGGTGCTGTTTCAGACAGTGCCCTAGACCATAAAATGAGCAATTCCTTCTTCGCTATTCAAGTCTAGTGTTTCACTGACACTGTGAATATGTCAAAACCCTCTAAGCACTCAGCTTAGAACACCCACAAAACCTGTGACTTAATGATATCATACCTTTTCCTCCTTCAATCTACCTTCACAATTGTTTCTCACAGAAACATCTACTTTTTTTTTAATCACTTAGCAAGCTAGCAAGCACATACTCAGTTATTTTAAGCTTCTTTAAGAATAAACCATTATCTTTAGTCAGCCTAAGATTGGAGCCTGTGCATCACCTGGTTATTAGTTACAAGATGCTCAACACCGTTTCTGTCATCATGAGTGAAATATGCTTAGTACAACCTGCCTAGATACATAAATGACCTCAGCTGCTGTAGTACATGATTCATCACACCTAAGGAAAGTGAGATGGGATGTTCCTCCTACAGTGCAGGTGGGAACAGTAGAGGAACTAAGACACAGGCAAGTGAAGTGTCTTAGCTAGAATCATGCAAAAGAGTTCTTACAAAACTGAGTTTCAGACACTGGTTTCTCGTATTTCAAGCAAATACCCTGAGCATGGACGATCTCGTAGAATTGGAATCACCATCTCATCACTGTCAAGACTTTCTTTATTCCACGCTGCTGAAGAAAATGATGGTTAACACAAGTCTTATGCTGTGTCTGTCCTTTTTCTGATGCTCTTGAATTTGCTAAACAGGATTTGCATGTGGTTTATCCTAACAAAAACCTTTGCTGGGAATATATGTTGACATTGAGTGGAACTGGAAAAAAAACAGAATTCACCTTCAGCCCTGGGTCTTGGGGACTTGAAACAGCTGCAGCACAACTGCCTTTATCTCACTGCCAGAAACAGAATGGCTTATGAGGAAATGAGAAGTTGAACGTGACTGCAAGTACCAAAACAACTCGGGGAGATGCAGCAGTTGCTTGAAAGGGATGGTATATAAAGGCTCTCTTATTTAGAGAAATGCTGTTTTCCTCAGAGGACAGTGGGATTTGATGGCCTCTGTTTCTTTAGCAGCCTTTTAGACTAAGGTGGCTGTTTTCTTCCTTTGTGGAGTGGGAGGTGATACAAAACAATTTTCATCTTGAAAGCCCTTTGCGATTATTAAGTTTTTTGAGGAAGGAATCAGCATCTGGAAACAGGCAAGTATAAGATGAAACAGACAGTGGAAACCCAGATCTGGGTGCAAAGTGAATGGTTCCATGTAAATTCAAATTCACGGGCTGTTGGAAATGGTTACTTCTTGAAGTAGCAGCTGAGGAAAGGGCCTGCAGTCCTTCTGTTATAGGCATTTACATGTAATGAGGCAGTAAATTTGGCGACATGGCAGTTGTATGTGCTGTCAAGGCTTTTTATTCATGTGGTCGATAGAGACACAGGAGAAATTGTCAACAACTTTGGAGGCTTCTACAGAGAGCTTACCTGCTCCAGGCAACTCTGCTGGGTAAGACACACTGGGGGCACTGTTGTGAAAAGGATAGTAACAAATGTAAGTTGTTCATTTTCTGAGAGCTCTGGGTGGGTATTTGATGCAAGTCATACATTTCAACATCATCTTCTTTTGTAATTTTTAACCAATATGAATTGCTCCTTTTTTTTCCAGTATCAGTGACTTTTCCCCTTGCTGTGTTATCAACAGTGCTGTTTTTTAAACTGTGGCAAACAAAATATCATTTAACAGAAACTGAGACATCGCTGAGTGTCAAACACTGAGGATGACACTGGGGGAATCTACATTTTTTTGCTCAACAGACTGGGTCATGAAACAGTGTTGTGCATTTGGCTATAGCTGCTGTCCTGAAGGCTCTGTGGATTAAGTGGGATCTCAACATAAGAATGTTCATTAACTCAGATTCCCTGCTCCTGATTGCCTTCATTTGCACATGTGGTCTTGATTTTGCAGTAATTAATACATATGTTTAGCTTTAAAATATCAAATAAAGTACAGGCATCGCCAAGTTCTTGGAGACTCTGCACATGCTTAATTACTGCAGGATGGAAAACTGTAGCCACTGCACAGTGCTTAGTGGTGGAATTGGTCAGAACATTTCAGAGTAATTTTGTGGAACTCTGGCATTTCTGAAAGAAAATATTTTTGCCTAGTCCTGCTTATCAGATGTTCCTCCACATCATCTTCTTGATTTCATCTTTCTTACGTGGATATTTTAATCTCAGATTTTAGCCTTTTAGCCACTTCCCTACTGAATATGCTGTTGATCTGGGAGCCAAACCTTGTATACTTAGCATGCTACTGTTCATTAAAAATAGCCTATTTAGGCAGTGATGTGAGGAACCATAAAGACAGCCTGGCTAGGAAAGAAAATTACTGAACAAAAGATATTGTCTACTCAAAAAAACTGACAGAGAAAGGGCTGCCAGCCTGGAAATGTGAGCCTGGGGACTAGCCCTGTGAACTGTTGAAAAACATCCTTGAGAAGTGCAGCTGGTCTCTTTGAAGTGCAGCCGAGGTACCTGGAAACCAGAAACATCCACAGATACCACCGATAAACACCAAACAAGGAGACTGTAATGTCAGTTTGTCATCTGAAGGTGGAAAACAGTCTGAAAAAATAAACTTGCTCTGAAGGAACAGAAAACACCAGCCCCAATTGGCTGGTACAGGTGAAAAACGTAAATTTATTAAATGTAGATTAATGTTTAATTAAATGTAATTAAATGTAAATAGGATCTATTGGCTGCTCCATGTCCTACTCCCTCTTATGAGTCTGTGATATAAAAAGGACCTAATGTTTATCCAAAAATGAGCTGCTGTCTGAGAACTTCTTGGTTGAATCCCAAACTTTCTATAAGCTCTTGAACTCTCCCCAGGGACACCTGGTTATAAAAGGATTCTGTGATGTAGATCATTTTGGAAATGGGACTCTGTCAGCTGTCTTATAGGTTTGGCCCATCCTCACCTCTTTTGGGGTGGGTTCATTCCGCTCTGGCATCAAGTTGTTCCCCCCTTTTGGGATCCTTTGGCTCCTTCTGACATCTGCCTAATTCACTTCAATATCAATAGCATTAATATTCATATAAGTACTCATAAATATATCTGCTGTTATATCATTGATAAGTTTGCTTCATTCATGATAAGCTGTAGCAATCTGAAATAGTATGTAGATACTTGGCTGCTGCTGTCACTGGTTGTACTATAGTACTGACTGATGCTATTATTGATTGATACCATACTATTGCTTGATACCATTGATTGCTGATAGTAATTTGTAATAGCTTGATATATATTCATTCATATTCATTTTATTAATCATAGGCATATTTCCTAATGGCAATTTTTGTGGTATTTGTGGTAATCTGTAATAAAGTAGAGAAATTTAGAGGACAAAGCTTTTATGTCCTTGTGTATTACAGAATCCTACAAACCCACAATTATTATCTCTCCACACCTGAATCCAGTTAACCTTTTAAGTGGTGACAGGCAGAAACTGGCCTTTTGCTCTGTGATTTAAAACTCTTCGTGTGGTGGAGTCCAAGTCCAGACATTTTAGACAGAAACTGTTTCCCTGGCGGTGAGTGTTGCTTTCTGGTCAGAGATGTCCTTCCCTCCCAACATACCCTTTTCATGTGTCTGCCCTCATGCAGAGATGCAAACTAGTCCCTCTTGTCTTGTCTGTCTCTAGCACCATAGCTGGCAGTGGGAACTGATGTCTACAGCTATAGGAAGCTGTATACTTAAAGACTGTGCTTTAATCCGTAGGTCTTTGTTTATGATTTGGCCAAGAAGCTGCTTTTCCTTAAGTCTGGATAACTGGGAATTTGTTTTAGTTTTTTTAATTGTTTGGGGGTTTTTTTTACAAAAATAACGCCTTACTAAAAACTCAATAATTGAATTGTTTGTGTTACTATTGGCTGCTAGCAAACGCTTGGGCTTCTTGTGTTGATCTGTTTGCTGAAGTGATCAGTCATTTGGGGGGAATTCTGTACAGCATTAAGATCTAAAAGAGCCTGTTCTAAAATAACTTAGCTTTTCCTTTCCTGAGAGCAGGAGACATGAGAACAGGGGTGCTTCTCTGTTCTAACTTGACAGCTGAAAAGTGTGACTTGGCTTTCCTGTTTAATCTTTTACTCCTGCTTGGATAGAGTTTAAAAGAAAGCTGAAAAGTGTTTATTATCAACTACTCACAGCCATGAAATTAGGCAAACACATGTTTGGCAGTGCAACACAAGCTCATGAGGGAGGAGGCTGTGAAGATTTAGAATATCTGCTGTCTCAACTCTCTGCTTGCTTCAGAGGAACAGGGAAAAGATTGACAGCCATTCCTCAACTGACTAGAATTACTTAACTTTTTTTTTCATCATGCTGTTTTATTATGCTATGGGGTTTTTTATTTTGTATGTCATCCTTGAAGCAGGATGCCAAGCAATTGCAATTCTGCATGGATTTCAGATATATTACTGTTTTGCTAACAGAGGAAGAAGCTTATGATAAGTCATCTTTCCTTTAAAGCTGGAATTTGGTACCCTCCATTTTTCTAATCCTGGAGCTTTCTCATCAGTTTTGATGGGAGTAACTCACTAAGGAATACATCACCAGCCTTTGAGACTAAGACAGGCTGGAGGGACAACTGTAGAGATGAAATCTGGAATGTAGGGAGAAGTAATTTGATACAGTTCAGTATGATTTGATATTTATTCTTGTTCCCTTACAGAAATAGTTCAAAATGGCCTGTGTGGGAAAAAAGAAATGTGTGAGCTTAAATACATCTGTACCTGATGAAAACCATTACTTTGCATCTCCCTGGGAAGGGAGATGTGAGATGAAGCCTGTTTGCTAGCATCTTCTCGTGTGTCCCAAGAGTGCAGCGTCAAACATTCAGTTTTGCTACATTGGTGATTTTTTGCCATGTAACTCTTAACATTGGGTTAGTAAGGAGTTCGTGCTGTTCTCTGCTTCTTCCAAGGATTTATCTGGTTTGCAGTTTTCTTGCAATGAAATAGCTAGCGAGAAGAGGGAAGGGCTTATTTGGCAAAGTTGATCTATTTGACTAAATTGATGGCTTTCGAGGGGAAAAAAAAAGAAGTCAAAACACTTCCAATCCTTCAGTTTTCCCAAAGAACATTATTTGGTGCTCTATTTAACAAAGTAATACGCTGTTGACTAAAACACAGCCTGACTTATAACCGTACTCATCTGCTTCAGAACAGCAAATAGTGAAGTATGGATATCTGTCTTACACAAGGTCCTGTTCCTGGCTGGGCTATTCAGACCAGCAGTTAAAAACAGATTTGAATGTTCAATCCTGTAATGGTACGATTTTAAATGGTATGTGGAGTGGGGAATGCTAACAGATGATGATGAATTCTCACTGCTTGTCCTAAACACTTAGAAGTTTAGCTGGGCTGACTGAAAATGTAACATAGCAGATCCATTTGGGGAAGTAAAAAAGTGGGCTCAATACCATTCCAGTAGTTTTCCCAGTAAGGCAGCGTGTTACAGTCTGGTTTATGATTGAGGATATACCCAAGGAAGTAAGGTGAAAAGGAAGTCTCTTTATTGGTATACTGTGTGTAACAGTGAGTTTGCACGGGTGCAGCTGTGTTGGCTTAAGCAAGGAGCTTATCCACATAGGGATTCTCAGGAGAGTGATATGAATTAACCAAAAGTCTGATCATTAAGAGAGTTAAAGAAACACATAAAATTTGTGGTTGGATATCATGGCTAGGCTTCGCGAATGAAGATTTGAGAAGGATTCTATCCACGCTTGCTACAAGCACGCTGATGGCTAAAAAGGCCAATGCGAGATAGCTATGTTGAGAAACAAAGTGCCTTAACCTTCAGTAACTTCATGGATGAGAAATGAGGATATCTCCTTCAGAGGCAACATGAACCTCAAAATTTAAGAAATGCTGATTTATTCTAGAACTTCTGGTTGCCTACACTTTGAGGAATACTCTGAAACTGTCAGCTGTAGAGGACCCTCGGCTTCCCTTGTAAACAGCATCCTTATTTCCAGAGAGTGTTTGTGCTTGACTTTCTGTGACAGCTTATTGGTGTCAGATTAAGTTAATATAGCTGGGATGTTTCTTTTGGAAAATATACACCTTGGTTTACCTACAAATAGTGTTGCCAGTTCAGGGGATGTTCATACCTAGATAAGAAAAATTTGTCATATGTTGTAGTTGGCTGTGTTGAGGGGTTTGGTTCAGCTGGATGTTATGGATACATCTGATCTCATTTTCTGATTTTTTTTTCCTAGCTACTTCTGAGGAAGAAATAAAAAGCTTATTCTAATTATTTGTAAATTAATATTATCTGAGATGCAGTGTGGTAGAGTTATTTAGAGGTATATAATTAATTGACGTAACTTTGCTTGCAGTTACACACATAGGCCTTGAGGCTGCAAAATGTATTTAGTGTTGTTATTCTTCTGTGTTTTGTGCTTTGAACAGTTGAACTAGGCCTAGTCTAACTCTTTCAGGTCTATGATACGGGCACTGATGACTTCGCTTCTGTATCTCTCCCAGACACTCCTCCTTTCTCCTACTGCATAATGCTGCATTGCAGGAAAAGAGTAATAGTGTGGCAAAGCTGAGGGCTGATCACAAATGAGGATAAACATGTTTCCATTGATTTATGAAAAACCATTGCTGTTTTATTTTCAGAGTAGGATGAAGCTTATTCACAAGAGAGGAGAAGTAATAAGAAAGATCTTTCTGTAAGGCAGTGATGTTAAAATTGTAAATTCTAGTTTATGGATTCCAGTTTACTGCCGCATTAATCATTCAGAAGTGATCCACATCTTGTTCCAAGTATGCATATGGGTTCAAAGTAAAGGTGGGTGCATATCTACAGGATGATATTTACAGATGCAGATTTATATGAGAAATGACTGACCCAAATGAAATAACTGTGGATATCACTTTTTGCTACACTATGTTATTTTCTATTTAAAACCATTAGATGAAATATCTCTCATTATAAGCTTTTATTGGCAAATATTTTTTCTTCCTTCTTCAAATCCTGAATAATGATGGCAACAAATGTTGATCAAAGAGCAGTATTGGATATCACCAAAGTAGATGTATTAGTAAGAATTATATCATATGTTTCTCTGCCAAAAATTTGAGTTTGCAGGGGAACCCCACTACCACGATTGTCTGGTAGAAGATTTTAATTGTCTTTTATATCCAAGGAGGCTTCCAGAGCCTATTAGTATTTTTCACTAATATTTGGTCAAAAATAAGTTGGAAAATATGTTATTCAAACTAAAATACTTGGATGAAAAGGAATAATTAGATGGAAGTCACATGTTTTTATTTGGAACTATTACTTTGTTGACTACTATGGCCGGATTCTTTGCCCCATGTGTTCACTGACCTGCCACAGCTGCTGCACTGACCCTCTGCAGTGCAGCACGAAGCTTTCATGGGGTGTGAAATGCCATGGAATGCAGAACCAAGAACTCTGTGAATGGCAAGGACTATAAGAGCCTGCAGAGGAACTATCGGGTAATTTTCATATGTTTTATCTTTTTATAGGAAGAAAACTTCTCCCTTGTGTGGGAGAGAAATGCTGCTTAATAACCTCATCTTATTTAAAGTACTTCATTTTTTTTGTCAAGAAGCTTTTCTGCTGAAAATTTCAGGCAGCCATGACCATGTTTTAGGGTGCTTTACTCAAGTATAGGCTGTCAAGATATACTCATTCCCACAGAATACTGTGCTGTACTGTTGCAGTCCGAAATTTGGATACCAACAGAAAAGGAACTGCTAGGATTAAACAGGAAACCTTGGACCACAGAGGCTGGGGAAAAAAACCCACCATCTAAAAGACCAGAAAAGATCCATTGTCCTGATCAACCCCAGCAGGTTGTAGAGAGACTTTGCATGATGCTATCAGATATCCCATTGTTTTCTCCCTCCCTGTGTAAATCCTTCTTTCCAGTAAAGCTGATCACCCTTCCCCAATGTAATCCTGCTTACTGGAAATATCAACCCTTTTCCCCCAAAATGTAAATACTGTATCCAAGAAATATAAAATCATTTTTCCCCTCATGTCACCCCTGTTACTGGAAATGCTAATAGATTGTGGAAACCCCTGTTTGGAATAACCCTGCCTCCTCATTAGCATGTAAGCCCCCAAGACCCTTAAGTAGCACTCACATGTTCAGTACATCACTCCAGTTTTTACCCCCATATCTTGGATCATGATAGCTTTGTTAGACCATTACACTGTACTTCCTACAGGTCCTGATCTGCTTGGTTCAAACTGAGTCTGGATGTTGACATAGTCATTGCAACTCTGCACAAGTGTGGCCAAAAGCACAGTGCAGACAGAATGGCAATTCCAACTTTTCACTTGCTTTCTATTTCCTGAGTTTCTACCACTTCATATAAATTTTTTCAGAAAAAAAGTCAGTAGAATCCTTCACTATATTTGATTCTTATTTTCCTTATCCCCAGATGTTGAATGCAAAGCAAAAATGGGAAGTAAAGGAAGCAATAGAGTGGGTCACTAAACCAGCTGAGTGTAAACCCTCATGGACTAAGAAGCCAACTTTTCCAGATGAGGATATACATTTCCAGATGGGATATGCAACCATTTCAAAGCTTGGAAATTTAATATTTTATTTCAATAATGTTGCAGTGACTCAGTCAGTACTGTTGTGTAATGTTGATACTGTTCAGATAATGTTGATACATATTCAGAGTTCAGATTGAACTAGTGATTCAGAATAGCATTAAATGTATTTGCTACATGATCTTGAGACACATTCTCCACCTGTATTCCCTTAAGTTTAAAAAAAATAGTTTCTTTCTTAAAACAATACTTAAAAGTATTGTGATGCCTACATGAGGAAGGCAGCTGACATTTAGTATCAAATGGAAATGGACTTTTTTAAATGTGTGGTTTCCGGTGAAATTGGAAATTTGGTTCAGAATTTGTACTCCAAATACACTATACAAAGCAGCACTGTTATAACCCCAGATGTACAGTATGTGAATTTCCTTATTGCTCTGAACACCCTGTTATATAATTCTTTACATTGCTTTTAGAGCAGAGAAAGCAGGAAAAAATCAATAAAAAGTTTTATCACATATGTTACATTTGCTATAAAATAAGTAGAAAACAGTATGCTGCATCAACTGTTATTCCATCTTTTGTGCTACTGAGTAGCTCCACTGGGAATAAAAAAAAAAAAACAAAAAACAAAACAGAAGCAAGTCTTGAATGTTTATTTCCTCGCAGGCCTTAGCACTTCTAGGAACTGGTGCAGCAATGACAAAACATGTAAGTGTATGTATAAGTGCTTTGGGCTTTTTCCTAATTACTATTTGTTTAATGCATCTACCACATGACCTTTGAAGCAGGTGCCAGAACTCCTTTACATTCCTCAAATAAGCTGAAAATCACTTGATCTCTACTTCAGTTATTCCCTACCAAGGTTGTCTCACTCCACCTTATCTACCTGGTTCATTCTTCTCATACACAGTTTCTGTGAACAACCTGGAAATATCTGATCTTTTAAATTATTATTATGAAAGTAATTGCTGAAATTTCATATTCTTACATCTGAGAAATTCAAAACAATGCATCTGTGATTGTAATTGCCCATATGAAAGGCAGAAAAGCAAGGTACAAAGACTAAGCCCATGCTTCTTGCTCTGTGAAGAACACTGAAGCTCCATGAGATAGCTTAGATAGCATCTGTGCAGGCTGGTGTAGGCTAAACAGTGTGGTCTGTGGAGAACTGCAGGGTTGCTGAAGCTGATATCCCCTGTAGCCCAAGCATAATTATCCAGCTCCCATTTTCATTTTACTCTGTGGGCTTGGTGCTCCAGCGAGAGTTTTGCTTAGCACAGTAGTGCATATTTAGACATGACCTTGCAGTGGCTATGTGAAGGACTACGTTTTAGAGTGGAGAGGTTTCAGGCTCCTCTTCTTGTATTAGCTCTACTTGTGCTGTCCCAACTCAACTGTAAATATCAAAATCCCAGAGAACAATGCTATTAGCAAACTGCAAGTCACCCGCCTCTCAATGGCACCAGGGGCACTGTCAGGGGTGCAGGGAGGGCTGGGGAGCCACGAGCCCACAGCACAGCTGGCAGGGCAGGTCTGAGAGCAACAACCACAGTCAACTGCGAAGGTTACCGGAGGAGGCCATCGTGTGAAGACCACTCTGAGGAAAGGGACCAGGGCCAGACACAACCCAGCGACTGCCAGCCTGTCCATGGGGATGAAGTCAGACCCAGGGCAAGCTGGACAGTCAGTCTGTGCTTCAGGGTCCAGATAGTGAGGTCCATGGCTTGGCGCAGGTAGGATATGATAGAAGATGCAGGCACCTGGGGGTAGCTCAGGCAGGGACTTGGGGCCATGTCCTGAGCTGAGATGGGTCTGAGGGGAGGTGTGATGGGGGAAGGTTGCCAGTGAGGCTGGACAGGGCCAGCAGGGCCAGTCCCACCCTCAGTGCCCTGGCAGGAGCTACTCCCCAGAGGGATGTGTCCTCCCACCCAACAGACAACTGGGCTCTGATGAGACTTGCTGAAGAGTGATTTAATTGCTGTGGGATGTAGGGGGCATTTCAGGGGACACAGAGCCAGGGCAGGGAGACAGGAATGGGAAAGGGGCATGGCAGGGATTGTTGGAGTCAGGTGGGGGGCTCAGGTAGACCCTGAGTACCCCCAGAGGCCTGACAAGCTTGTGGGTGGGGGTCAAAGGGGGGATTCTCAGATGGCCTCTGAAGAGTCCCAGAGTCCCCCCGTGAGGGGTTTAGGGAGCGGCCAGTGCTCTAGGAGGGTGTGCTGGTTTTGGCTAAGATAGAGTTAATTTTCTTCCCAGTGGATAGTATGGAGCTGTGTTTTGGATTTGTGCTGAACACAGTGTCGATAATATAGGGATGTTTTTGTTATTGCTGAGCAGGGCTTACACAGAGCCAAGGCCTTTTCTGCTTCTTGTACTGCCACTGTGGTGAGAAGGCTGGGGTTGCATGGGAGGTTGAGAGGAGACATAGCCAGGACAGCTGATCCAAACTGACCAAAGTGATGCCTTAAGCACCTAATGGGTTTTTTTATTTTTCTAATATTTGTAAGACTGGTAAGAATTGTAGGTTTTAAAAAGCAGAAACCCCTTTTTGCCTTGTTCCTTTCCCTTGTCTACACATTCCCTAACCCTCTTACCCCATTCTATGTTCCCATATCAAACCTACCCCTGAATTCAGTAGCAGTGTTTAGTCTTTTGTCAAGGCAAAGGCCCAGACTGTTTGGAGAACAGCATATCAGGGCCGAAACCACAGAATACGGTCAAAAATTGGGTAGCTATGTGCCCTTTGTGCTCTGAAGATGGTGAAGATGAGGAAGTAGGTGGTCCCAAAAAGACCCCAGACCCAATTCTCAGGGGGAGAGCCCGGGGCAGACCAGAGGAAGGGCCAAAGGGTGGACACATCTGGGATTGGATGGATAATGTTATAAAATGTAACCTCTCAGGCACGGCCTGGGCGCGCGCGTCTATATCACCTATTGCCTTGGCAAATAAACCCTTTCTTATCTCACCCCGAATTAACTGCTCCGGAGATTTTTTCAGCACCAAAATACATAGGCAACAAAGGGATATTCCACACCATATGACATCCTGCTCAGTATATAAAGTGGGCAGAAGAAGGAGGAAGGGGGGGACATTTGGAGTGATGGTTTTTGTCTTCTCAAGTAACTGTTAAGTGTGGTGGGGCCCTGCTTTCCTGGAGATGGCTGAACACCTGCTTGCCCATGGGAAGCAGTGAATTAATTTTTTGTTTCGTTTTCCTTGAGTATGTGGCTTTTGCGTTCCATATTAAACTGTCTTTACCTCAAACCATGAGTCTTCTGGCTTTTACTCTTCCAGTTCTCTCCGCAGTCCTGCTGGCGGGGGAGTGAGCGATTGTCTGTGGTGGTGCTTCCTGTCTGGCCAGGATTAAATTACAGTGGAGGGTCAGAGCCCAGAGCCAGGCCAGGTTTGTAGAGCAAGGTCTTGTGCAGCCATGGGCCTAGCTCTGCAGTGCTGGCTTAGGGCTTGAGGCAGCCTGGCAGGCAGAATGCCACAGAGGCCAGCTGCTTCCAAGAACTGCCAGGGATCCCCATGGGGACAGCAGGGCAGAGGCCTCTCAGCCAGGCTCATCCCTCCATTCGGGAGCAGGGGTGATGGGGGACAGTGGGGTAGCCCCAGCCCCAAGCACTGGGCATCTCCCTGGGGATAAGGATGGGTATGGGTAGAGGCCAGGCAGTGAGGGTAACTATGGTCAGACGTGGCCCAGTGTGTGTCCAGCCAGGCTGGGGTGTTGGTCCATGGCCAGACACATCCATAGCTGTAGCAGAGCTGGAATCAGGTACACCATGTGGTCGGTTGACCTTGACTGGATGCCAGGTACCCACCCAGCCACTCTATCACTCCCCTTCCCAGCTGGACAGGTGAGAGAGTAAGATGGAAAAAAACTCGTGGGTACGGATAAGGCAGTTTATTGAAGCAGAAGCCAGGTGAAAGCTTGCACGTGAAAGCAAAGTGAAAGATAACAGTTTATTCTCTACTTCCCATGAGCAGTGATGGTCGGCCACTCCCAAGAAGCAGGGCTTCAGCACGTGTGACGGTTCCTCAGCAGGCAGCCATTGGAGACAATGAATGCCCCCCTTCCTGCTCCTTTCCTTAGCTTTCATATCTGAGCTGATGTCATATGGTATGGAATATCCCTTTGGTCAGTTTGGGTCAGCTGGCCTACTTGGGTCCCCTCCCAGGATCTTGCCCTCGATTGAGGAAGGAATGTTACAGTGCTGATGCTGTGCCTGCCCTGCTCAGCAGTATCCAAAACACCGCTGTGTTATCAACTCCCTTCTAGCTACCAATGCAAAGCACAGAACTGTGAGGGCTACTATGGGGAAATGAACTCCAGCTCAGCCAGACCCAATACAACCTGCTATTCAACCCTGGCAGAAACTAAGGTCCGTGGACAGAGGGAGTGAGCCCCAGGTGAGACTGGTCACGGCGAGGTCTGTCAGTGCACTCAGTGCCCTGCCTGTACTAAGGAGGAATTTGTCCGGTACATACGCAGCTATTTTAAAAGGTTGAAACCTGTTCTTTGCCCCAAGGAAACTCATTGCTGGTATTAGTACTTAAGTCCCTGCCATCAGCTATAATTAAATACATCTTGCATGAAATATTTTTAATGAGTCCAAAGACCAGAATCAACCCTTGGATATATCATAAATAGCAAGGTATCAGTAGACAGCTTGGTACCTTTTAGAATACCAGTCTCCAGCCTAAAGTAAATTGTTTTTTATTTGCATCCATCCTTTTTCTGAATAATGACACCAAATTTACAGAGCCAAACAATGTAAATTAACAAATTCCTGATTCTCTGCAGCAATTGGAAACAGTGATGGCATTAGCATAATTTCTCTGCCGGTTTCTCATGCCAAGCCCTGCTATCAACATATTTAATTGTACTTCTCGCTCTCAGCTGTTGTCGATCAGTAGATAGGACACCTAATTTGCAGAGGGGGGTGCTTTATAATGAATGTCTATTTGGATGGGTTTGAATTACCCATTAGTATAGCCTTGCTTTACAAATTAAAGGCTGGTCCTGAATACTGGCTTTACTTGATGGTTTGTTTAACCTTTCTCTTCTTTTCACCGTAACATCCAAGAACCACATAAGTATTTAATGTATTTATATACAGAACTCTCCATTGAACAAATGGAATACAATTATCTGTAGTAGAAACATGGGAAATTAATATGAGGCCTTAACTGACTGAACAGCTTAGCCAAGTTCCAGACAGGAAATCTCTAGCACAGCCACAAATTGAATCCTGACTCTCATCCAAGTGTATCTCCTCTACAAGTCCATCTCTCATCTGGCTGGAGCAGTCTCCAGGAGGAATGATTTCCTACAGCAGAATCACTGCTATATTCACTTTAGCTGTCTCAAAATGGGAATAGCTGCTCATTCACCAAGGCAAGAACATCCCAAAGCTGTGCAGTCCTGAGCATGCTGAATGCTATCCCCAGAGTACCCCAAGTTCCTGTCTGTGGACACAGTTAGGTGACCAATGGGTGTGTGTTGGCTCCTAAAGGAGCCCAAACGTTAAAAAGATTTTGAGGCAATCTGTGAGGCAATTATCTGGCGGAGCTGCCAGATCACTTTGTGTGAGCATTACATAATCGTTTCACTACAAACTCAGCGTGCCTTTGTGGACGTTAAACCCATGTCCCTGGCCTAGAATGGAACAGCCATTTTGACTCAGTGCTTTCACGATTCAACATCCAGTTAAGGGGCAGTAATTTCCAAACTCATCCCAGGACGACTATGCCCTTTGGCACACATTGATTTTTTTTTCACTGTACCTCACTTCATTGTGTCAGGTGTAGTGCTCCTAACATTACAAGTATAAGCTGATTTTTAATACTGGCAACATCCCTGAAGTTCACTTCAACCAAATCCTTATGTGATCTGTCATTTAAATGGAGTAATTAAAATAATTTGGATTTACAGAGACACACACAGGAGGGACACTGTACAAATGTTTTTATATGAGTTGCCAGCAGCTCTTGGAATATGTTAATTTGGGAGACTTCAGGTCTTAACTTTTCATTTTTTCCCCTTACACTGCCACAACAGAGTGATATTTAAACAGCTTCTACAAGCCAAGGCCTTGAGTTATCTCCAAACTGACAGCTGCAGTCTGGGAAGAGTGAATGAAAACTTGTCTGTGCTGCTGATGGCCAAACAGTTCCAGAGTAAGGCTCTTCAAAATGCAGCAGCAATGAGAAAATTTTCCTCTCCCCACCCTTCAAGCCACTCTGATTAGTTTCTTCAGCTATCATGCCTGTGATTTCTGAGCATAAGCTTGCATGCACTGCTGTAAAATTCTTTGTTTCATGTCATGCTGTGGGGCTGACCAAAAGGCTTTGGATGCCTTGGTGTGGCACTGTCATCTCTAGTATGGACATACCTAAGTATCTAAAAGGTTTGAAAACAGGTTAGTTATAAAAAAAAAATGCAGTAGCAACTGGTTACTGTGATTGTTCTTTGTTTTCTGAAAAAATATGTTGCTACATGATGGTCACAGCATAAATTTGTGTTGCTACTCCACAAGCCCCCTTCCTGTGGTCTACAAAGGGAAGGCAGAGGTGCAGGTTAGACTTCAAGCAGGTGAAAGTGAACCATTTGTGGTTTCGATAAAGGTACTTGAAACTTGGGCTGCATTCCATATTCAGACACCAGACACTATGGTGGCAAACTCACCAAGCCAGGCTCATTATTAGACTGTTGATTTTGATGGTTGATCAGACAGATGTTTGTCTCAAAATTCAGAAGCTGTTCTTTCTTTTCTGACCTTTCATCTGTCATAATCAGAAAACTAATATTCTTTGTGGTATCACAGTAAGCCAATTTTGCAACATATCAAAACATGTCAGAAATAATATGGGTAAAGAAAGCTTGTCTAAGGAAGTAGAAAGCAGAAGTTGGTATTTGACCAAAGTGGTAAGAAATTTCACTGCTACCTCCAAGTTATTGAATTGCCCTTGGAAAGTGGAGAAATGATACAAAGATGCATCTGGAGGAGAAATTACAGAAGAGGGGAAACTCTTCAAGTCCAAATGGTGAGGCAGAATGAATGTAGCAGTCAACAGGGCAAATGGTAAAGACTCAGAAATACTACGGATATGCAGAGCTGGTAAGGAACTGACTTCTAGTTCCACCCGTAGAACTCTAAGTCATCAGCAGGGGAGAGTGAGGAACTGGGACCTTCTGGGACAGCTTATTCGTCAGGAAATTAGTCCAAGAACAACCCCTTCTCTCAGTAAGCCTACGGGTCCCTTTCACAGCTTCCCAAAATGATCTAGCAATGTCCCATGTTTTGTCTAAAATACTGCTGTGAATATGGCCTGCAGTCATACTAGTCATCTTTGCAGCAGTGAACAGTGTTCACATTCTGCAAATCAAAATTCCTCGAGTACCTCCTCTTTAAGCCTATATATTCAAATTCTTTGAATATTCATTTTTCTGCATGAAATCTCATAAAAGTCTCATACCTATGAATTTTAAAATGTATTATCACTTTTATTCACATTAAAGTGTGCTGTGTGAAGGCTGCTTTTTACATCTTTCTCATCTTTTGAGCGCTGTAAACCTTCTTGGTCTTCAAGGTACAAGCTTCACTTCAGTAACTGCTATTGGCAGTAAATTGTGCTGACAAAGGAAAACAATGAATTTGTAGTTAATTCTTATACTAAAAAGTAGTAGCTCTTCCAGAGCAATATATATTGGTCTGTCAGGGCATGCTATGTATGTCCATACACGTAACTCCTCTGTAATTTATGAAAGGAAATAAATGATTCCCATTCTGAATTCTTCTCTTGGCTAGGTATTCCTATCCTGGATAACTTCCCTGAGACTGCTAATTCCCACTAGTCAAGCCCTGAGGCCAACATTTTATTTCACATCCTCACCTGCTAAAATGTCCTGCAGATTCCACCTTATCTGCAGTGTTACATAAAGTGGTTTCCAGCAAAAGAAACTTAACTTGCTAAGTGTAGGCAGAACTGTTAAGTGAATTTGCAACTTAAACTGGTTTTTTGTACTTTAGAGGACTGTAAAACCACTCAAGAACCTTTAACTTACAAAAGTATGCACATGGTAAGAAGTGGCTGACAACCTACAGCTGGGATGTATCATTAATGTAGAAGACACCTGGACTATCTGAACTGGGTGACTTTAAAATATAAGACTAGTAGAGCTGAGATGGAATTTATTAGGAGGAGCACGTGACATAAGTGAATGAATGTAATTAAAGCACACTGATTATCAAATTCTTAGAATTATCTGAAATCATACACTTTTCCAATATTTACAAGTTTACTGACTTTAAAATTTAATCAAAAAATTACTATGCATTTCTCCATGTGTTCAAATATGTATTGAATATGCTATGTCTGAATTATAATCATAGATCTATTCACAATTAAATTCCTGATGAGGAATTTTGTAAGAACTGAAGTTAATGCAAAAGTTGCAAGGATAAGGAGAGATAAAAGCTGAATTCCCCTAAGATTAAATTAATAAACTCCATTCCTACAAATACTACGATCTCTAACTTTTAATGCTTCAGGTTGCAAAATCAGTCCACATTTTTGTGGGATCTGGTTTTAAGTGATGACAGACAGCTGATTACTAATGCTATCTGGTTACTTCTGTTTAACTACAGCTCTGTTTGATTTATATCAAAATAATCATTCATGTAGGGTTGAGGAATAAAATAAATTGCTGCTACAGAGATGTTACGCAGACACTGCATTTCAGGCAAGGTTCCGTTAAGATCTTTTGTCTTCCTGATGGTTCATCTATAAAGACCATGGGAAGTTCAAGTGTTTTTCCTTGCTAGATCTCACCCTCCAAGATCCTTTGCTTTTCAGCTCTTTTTTACTACTAAACATAAACAAACACATTAAAATTAAACATGCATCATACGTTCCAGAATTTTTTTTAAAAAAGCTTTATTAGACATATACTCTTTAGAACATATTTAACAAATTCTCCAACCCTGAAGGAATCCTCTTTATATCAAGCACATAAGCAAGTGCTCACAGTTACTGAATGGTAATTTAAGTGGCCACTGAAACATGCAGAAAACCAGCTCACTATCAACTTAGAGATGAGTTAATGTCTGCACAGTACATCAGGCATAATCATCTGTTCTGTACAACTACAGGTTAGTACTGAAGGCAGTTCTGGTCTGCTACTATCTATTTCTTTTTAATAATAAAGCAGGTATCTTTTGAAGTATATAAAAGCCCCATCATTTTAGAGAAACTAAGTAGCTTAGGTACATTTCCACATAAATATTTAATGCTGGTTTACAGCATTAAACAGCCATTTCCATTTTAATAGGTGGATGAGGATTATAACCTTCAATCTGAAAGTCTTCTGCCTTAAAGTCACTGATGTCTTCAACCTTACGAAGAATTCTGAGTTTGGGGAAAGGTCTTGGCTCCCTCTGAAGCTGAAATAAAAGCAAGCTTATTGTATAAAGCTTAATACTTGAGAGATTTTGTGTTCTCAATGTCAATTCAGATTATATTATGTAGACTTTCCCTCCCCACCAAGAAGACTTACACTAAGAAAAAAAAGGGAAGAAAATTTTAATATTGTTAGGTGGAATCTACTTTAGTATTTTCATAGGGACAGTAGCATAATTTTCAAGTGAATTCCTTGATCATCCAAATGCACTGCAAGCACTTCCAGTGGGTGAAGCAATTCTGGTGGTTACAGATCATACTCCTTCCAGAGGAAACTATATTGGAAACTCTGACCCAGATGTGCATCAAATGTGCTGCAGTTTCTCACAGGACCATTTGGGTCCAAACCATTAACTAGTTCTCTGAATGGTTTTGAACCATATGAATGGTGAGGACACTCAACCCAAGCTAAGTCAAATCAAACAGAATTCTGATTTTCTCCTACTGCAACAAATTACTTACTGAAGAAAAGATAGCCAAATAGTAATATTGATTAACTCTGTGAACTGGTAAGTTATCATCTTCTGCTATACTACAAAGACATTCTATTTTTTGTTTAGCTGGATTAGGCAGAATGATTTTCTAAGGTTTTGGTATGATTTAGCCAAAAGTAGGAGTACCAATTCTGGATCTCCAACTGGGTTCTAAAGTAGTACACTAATGTGCATTTCAATCACATTTGTATTGTATTTCTGTTTGCAACCGGAGTTGAATACTACATTTATTAGTATATTACAATTATTAGGGTAGAAATGAGAAGAAAAGCCACACAAGTTAATATTTGCAAAAGGATATTTATAATACCAAGATAATTCTGCATTGAACAAGTATTGTGGAAGATAAAACAATACAAGAATACAGAGTAAATACTTACTTGAACTTTAAGAGGTTCCACATGATTCAGATATATGTGAGCATCTCCTAAAGTGTGTATGAACTCTCCAGGCTGAAAAGAATGAAGAATACACGTGGTTTTCAGTCAGGTTTCAAGAAAGCAAAACATTACAATGCTTACAGTATTGATTCCTAGTACCTTACATCTAGTGTGGAACTGCAGCTTTTGTACTGGATTGTATTGCCAAGACATCCTTGAAAACTTTGAAGGACACTAGCTTCCCTGACTACTGCATAATTAATGAAAAACATATTGAAATTTCCACTAGCTTACAAAAAAATTTATCTTTGAAATCCTGCTAGGATAATAGCTTTGGTATTGAATGGAGCACTACTGATCTGCTCACCAAGATAAAAACGGACATGGCAGTGACATCCAGCTTTTACACTTTACTTCTAATAGGTATGACTTGCCAAAGCTTGTTTCAGAGTAACTGCCTTAGCCTCTTCTAAACATTGTACTTTGCAGCAGTGGAGGTGTCAGTCACAGTCTAAACCCCAAAGCACTTATCAAGAATCCAGATACGTTTGCAAGATTGAAAGTTCTGTGATTTCGCAGCCCCTGAGCAATCTAATTTAACTCAGGTAAGTTTTATCAGCTATTTTACTGGCCTCTGACCAATGTAGATAAGCCCCTGGATATATTACACTGAAAACCACCAAAGCCATGAGACAAAATGGCTGAGAGACAACAGCTGCCTCATGGACTTTACCTTGGACTAATATGGATTAGTACCTTGGACTAATATGGACTAGTACCTTGGACTAATTTCTCTGTTTGCAATTGCTGTAAAGTCTGATTATTCTTCCCTATTTCCTTATTTTAAGTTCTCCTTCATGTTGCTGGTAGCAGGAGGATCAAGCACAAATGGTCTTACTAGTATAACTTTTACATGCCCTAAAGAAAAGGGGTTTTCACATGTATGAGATGCTGAGCATTTTTAATTTTTCTGTCAAATTAAAAAATATATCTCAAATAGCAGGAGCTATTTGAGCACATACTACCACTCTACATAATCATCTACAGTAGGAAATCACAGAGATACCTAGCTGAAATTACAGCTGGAAGTTAGGTGGGCAGAATATCCAAATTAAAACCTTGACAGCAACTTCTGAGCTACTGTTCGCTTCCACTAAACACATCCTACAAAATTTAACCACTTGTATGTTACTATCCCATAAAGACAAGTGCTCTGTTCAGATTTCTAAGAAGCAGACTAGTGAACAGGCCAGTTTTGACATGGTCATGACCTGGAGGATCTTCTGTCTGTTTAACCTTAATTTAAGAATTCTTACGTTTCTGATCCTAACTGCCCACATAAACCAGAGGCAATTCACATCAAATTCGCAGGGCCCTTTTTTACACATATTTCAGCAAGATTTTTAACAGTATGTTCATTCCATTTTTTCTTGGACATTTTCATGACATGAAGAGTCCCGTCTTTCAGTCCTTCATTTCTCAGACAAGATTAAGTAAAATGATAAAATAACCTACCTTTAGCCCTGTAACATGGGCAATCATGTATGTGAGCAGTGAGTAGCTGGCAATATTGAAAGGCACTCCTAGTCCCATATCTCCAGACCTCTGATAGAGTTGGCAAGACAATTCCCCATTTAGAACATAGAATTGGCAAAGAGCATGGCATGGAGGCAAAGCCATCAGAGAAATATCTAGGAATTGCAGTACAGAAAAGAACAGTAGCAGCATTAGTGTGTTATGAATGTAAAAGATGTAAAACCTAAATAAGTATGTAATGGGATACAGTAGAGAGCCAACAGCATCGTCATTCTGTTGCTTGTTTCTCTTGTTTATAAGCACCTGCTGCCCAAGCAATTAAGTCTGGGTCATGACAAGCTGTCTCCTGGGCTGCATGACCAGAAAGTCATAAACAGATATTCCACGTAACAGATTTATGCCATAATGCTGCACAGCAGTTTACTGCTACTCACCTCGGTGAGACAGTTGATTTCCCCAAAGGAAGACATTAAGAGTAAAATTAAGCATGTACCCTAAAGCAACTTCCAACTGCTTCATCTTACTCCCTTCCCATTGCAATGTGCCTTTGCTGCTTCTTCAGATATAAAAACAATGATCAATTAAAAAAAATCAGAAAACAAAAGATCTTTTGAGTGTTTATCCACACATAAAAAGTGCAGATAGCATAACTGCAGCTTGGCAGGAAAAACTTTAACCAGGTATCTTCTGATATCTGAGAATGCTTAACCTTATAAATAACAGTAACAGCATGTTGCAGCCCTTTCATACACCAGTGGATTTTTTGGAGCACAGATCACCACTGGTGAAGTTAACATTCTCTTGCACTAGGCTCTTGTTTAGAAATAGCCATACAGAGTGAATGGATATCTAGACAACCCATGTTAAAAGAGATGATTACAACACAAATAATACTTTTGTTCTCTAGTTTTAAGGGTTTTGTTAAGTTTAACATGGAAAGAAACACTCTGAAGAAGTGGTTCAATATTTTTGAGGTCTGAGCATTAGACTTAGGTAGAAAGAGAATCAAACTTATAACCCCTGGTCATTTTTATTGTATTCCTGACAGTTTTTATAAAAAGTAAATAAGGACACCAAATAGTACTGACTGTGGACACAGGAATAGAACATAATTTAGCATAAAGTAAGGTAATGTGCAACTGCATTCATTTAAACTCTGCTATTCAATACCTTTTGGATTCCAAGCACACATAATGATTCTTCTGTCATCTGGATTGGTTTTGATCGTTTCAATCACTTTTTGCAACTGATCGATTCCTTGGTTGGAGTAATCTGGAGAAAGGTACCAAATAAGATCTAAACCAGACAGATTCGAGTCATGATATTTTTTTAACACCCAGCCCACATCCCACCAAAAAGTAATATTGAAATTACAACCTCTGAAAACTTTACTGCAACTTTGAAAGTGATATTAATTAGTTGGCACACTCTAAATATAGGCTATTCTTGGTGTTTCTTAGGGTGCTCTAAAGCTTGTGAAATTTTCATTATGGTATTTTGACATGTCCCCTCATCTCTTTTGTGTGCTTTGACTACCTTTAGCACCCACTGAAATAGGACCATTCTTATTTAGAACACTTTATTCCATTCTTAATAACTTCACATTTTTAAAGACCAACTAAGAAGTCTGCATAATCGCTAAATCCCAAGAAACAAAACTTGCAATACAAAAAAATAGTTGAACAAAGAATGGTATTTTATCTTTCATGATGACTTGTTACCTAAATAGGTAAAGAGCTGTACTGGAATGGACAATATATTACTACCTTGTCATTCACAGTATTTAAACTAAATCGTTTATTGCACTTCTGGATTAAAATGCCTTTCTAGGTGTTAAACTTGCATGTTACAGTGCTCCTTCTCACTAAAAAAAATAAAATTATGCCCAGACCAGTATTGAGGGAAACCAGCACTCTTTACATACTCAAAAGTACAAAGTTTTTGACAGATGAATAAACACAACCATCTAGCACTCATAAGGTCATTTATGAAAACTAAATTTCCACAGCATTTAAAGCCAGAAGGGAACTTTAATCATGTATAGCACAGGATAATACATTTCACCCAATTTCACCCAATTCTCAGGCTGAATTTTAGGCTCAATTCCAGTTATATAAGAAATGTACTGATATTAACTGACCATCAGAATGGATTTCAGAATAAAAGAGTCATTAGTTGTTAATCATTGTTCTGACTCATTCCAGTCAATCAGCATGACTGGTAACTACTTTTTTCTAATACCTTATTGCATCAACATCAAATTAAGCTACAGGGAGACCCAAGCTGGCAAGCAAGGTAGTAATACACGATCCCCATATGGGCCATTCACTTAAGAGTTGGACTCAATGATCCTTGTGGGTCCCTTCCAACTCAGAATATTCTGTGATCCTTCCGTGACACAATTAGTAGCTCAGGGAATTCTTCTGCCAGCAATACCGTGCCAGAAGCCTTGTCAAATGGTTATGTTAGTTCCTGAAGCTAATTACCTATCCATTAGTAATGCAACTTAAGGAAATCTATTAGTAATGAAACCCATGGGAATTTATCTTGTTCATTTTTTCCACCCTATGTTTTGACTCAGACCTACTAAGTTCAGAAACACTGAAATTTTTCACTAAGTTTTCAGATATGTCAGTTCACAATTTGCACTGTTTGTGTTAGCATAAAACTAGTGATCAACATGCCAATACCAAGTCTAATATCTGTAACTAATTTTGAGGCTGTATTGACAAAAACCCCCACCAAGATAACTAACCCATGTTGTTAATCCGAGTTTAAAATCACTCTAGATAGGGGCAGTCCTCAAAATGTTTTCTACATCTTCTCCTTCAGTGACTTAGAAAAGAGCCAGCAACACACTTCAGAGAAAGTCTAATGAACCTGTTCCACAGAAAATAATACCAACAGATACTGCATCACAACTTGTTACGGCTGTTTTGTCCACAGCATCATGAGCTATGGATACATCCTACTTTGTTCCAGATGCAGAATAGAAAAATCTTTCTCTTCCCCTGTCTCCAATGAATGTAGTGCACTGCCAGTTCTTTCCAGAACAACAGTATCACAGAAATTGGGACCCCACATTGATACACAGAGATGGCAGCCTGTGTTCCACTGCTATCAAATGGAGCTAGCGTGGGCTTCTGGACTGCAACAGGCACACATCCTTCCAGCTATCAGTGACCATATCTGGTCTAGATAAAAGAATAACAGTGTATTCCTTACGATCCATCAGTTCTACAAATGTCACACTACAATACACAAAGCTACATCTTTCAGGATAATTGGATTAAATAAGAAAAAAAAAAAGCTAAATTAACTCTTTCAAACACTATTTATTCTGGCTATCAGTTCACACTCAGTCCCTTAACAAAACTCAGAGTTTTGGAAGTAATGTATCACAGTTGTCTCACTAAGTGAACAAGACTGTATTTGTACATGATTACCTGTGTGCATATCTTTGTATTCTGCTCCAAAGTGCCTCCACTGGAAACCATACACTGGTCCCAAATCCCCCTCCTCTCTGGTGCTGAAACCCTGCTTATCCAGGAACTCACGTGACCCATTAGCATCCCAAATCTTCACACCTTTTGCAGAGAGCTCTTTGGCATTTGTAGAACCCTACAAAACACAGACAGTAAGAATTCTGCTTCCTAATTTCAACACTGAGGACATTATCTGAAACAGCTGCATTAAGCTTTTCTAGTCTACAGTATTTCTCCACTTACAAAGGATGAACAGTCTAATTAATGTACTGGATGAGGTTCTTGCACATGGACAGAATAAAGCTTGAGAGCAACATACTGGGATGAAGTTTGAGGAACAGCCATGCTACTGTTGTTTAACACAGGATTCTCCTAACTTTGTGATTGCACAAACAATACGGCCTCAAGGTCAACTGTGGTATGTCATTTCATAAGCACATTTGCAGAGAACAAGATGTTACTTTACAGATGGATGAAAACAGACTAACAAGGGCACTGTCTTTGCCAAGCCACCTATAATGAGCTTAAGGTATTAAAAATCCTTTTGTTTAAATGACAAAAATGTGAAAATGACCCAGAGAAATGTTGCTGAATCCTGCAACATGTCCAAATCGGCACATTCAAAAATTCAACACAGAAGTTATGCTGGTTTGGAGAGTGTCTAGTCTTTTACATTTGAAAAAAAACACCCAAAGCTTTTAAAAAATTAATGTGCATTTGAGTCCTGCTATGTAGCAAATGGTTAGATAGACTTTCCCATACCTGCACAATATCACAACATATAAAGGAACACTTCCATTGTAATGTATTATCTATAGCTGAATTTTATTATTCTACCTACAGCTATCAGCTCTATTAGATCTCATTTTTTTGCTACTAAAAAGCCTAGTGTTTACATCGATCTCACTTGACCTGTGGTTCTGCACTGCTTGTTTCTGTTCAAATCAATAAAAGCTATTTCAATATTAAAAAACAGATCACTAAATTGCCTACTATCTATTTCATATTATTATTTCTTATTCAAACACTAAGAAAAGACACTGTATTAGGCTTTATAACTCCAGAGTATAGTCAAATCAGCAAAAGCCCTCACTATTTCAGACTATATCCCATAAAAAGAAATAGAAGAAAAACTCTTCCGAGTGCACTGTTAGCAACAGTCTGCACTAAAAGGCTGAATGTCTTGAAGATAATAGCCTTCCGTGTGTGGTCAAAATATTAGGTGGTTGCACTTCTCTCATAGGAAGAGAAGCACCTGTAGTTACCCCAAATCCCTCAATCCAAACTAGTTCATTCCATTTATCCCACTCTCAGGCACAGCACGCACAGAGACATCCAAACACCGAACCTTGATGAACCACAGCAGCTCCTCCAGCACTCCCTTCCAGAACACCCTCTTCGTTGTTAGCAGTGGAAACTGATCTGGAAGAGAGTTTCAGAGTGTCAGAGGAGACAGCCATTCGCGAAAGGTGAACAGACTTAGGCTTTTCTCAACGCCACCATTTGATATTCAGAGGTTTGGATATGCAGCAAGGAGTTGGGAGAGGATGTCTAATTCTCGTACTCAGATCTCTCGGCGGAAGGGAGCGGGTCAGTCCCGGGGTACAAGATGGCGTGTGACACCTCCCAACACCCACCCCGGCGGGCCGGGAACAGGGAGCAGGGGCCAGGGGGCCAGGGAGCAGGGAGCAGGGACCAGGGAGCAGGGGCAGGGGGCCGGGAACAGGGAGCAGGGGCAGGGGGCCGAGGACAGGAGCAGGGGGCAGGAGCAGGGGGACAGGGGCAGGGGACGAGAGCAGGGGACAGGGAGCGGGGGGACAGGGAGCGGGGGGGACAGGGAGCGGGGGGACAGGAGAGGGAGGGGGGGGAGCGGGGGGGAGGGAGCGGGGGGGACAGGGACGGGGGGGAGCAGGGGGGACAGGGAGCCCAGGAGGCCGGAGACGAGGAGCAAAGGGCAGGGAGAGGGAGCAGGGGCAAGGAGCCGGGACAGGGGCTGCGGGTGCCGGCGGTGCCCACCTCTCAGGCTGTACCGCGCCTGCATGCCGAACACGGAGAGGGTGCCAGTGCCGGTGCGATCCTCCCTCCGGTGGCCGTGCTGTAGGATGTGCCGTACCTGTTGCAGGTACTGCGACTCGCCGAGCCCCGGCCGGCGCGGGGCCGCTCAGCGGCTCCCCCTCGGCGGGCATGTCGGGCGAGAGCTCCCTGCGGGACGGGCTGGGCTCCGGCTGCACGGCGGTCCTCTGCTCCCGCCCGCCGCTGCTCCTCCGAGCCCGCCAAAGCCCGGCTTTCCCGCCAAGCGGCGCCGAGGGGCGGAGCGGCCCCGCTGCATCCTGCTTCTTGTCTTCCCTTTCTCCTTACCGCCGAGCGCCCGGGGTTCCTCAGCGCCGCAGCCCCCATGGACGCGACCCCTTTCCCCCTGAGGGAGCGGCTGTCCCGAGCACCTGGCCCTGGTCAGTGCTCCAAACTATACCAACTTGTTTAGATTGGACATGAGGTAGAATTTCTTCCCCGAACGGGTGAGGAGATATCAGAATGGGCTGCCCAGGGAGGTGGTGCAGCAAGGGAAGACTGGACGCGGCACTTAGTGCCATGGTCTAGTTGACACGGTGGTGTTTGGTCATGGGTTGCACTCGATGATCTCAGAGGTCTTTTCCAACCTAATTGATTCTGTGACTCTACTTAGACCTGCCCCGGTGGCAAAGTATCTGCTCTCTGGGCTCATTGCGTACTGGAAAGTGCTGTTGGCATTTTTCATCTACTTTCCTCTCTTCGTCAAGCATCCCATTTCAGAGCTAAACAAGATCAAAGCATTCAGCTGGGCCTGGCAGGCCACACACATTTGGCATTGGATCCCCCCAGCTGGAGGGATATCCCAAACCACCAAAGCCTTGCGTGCGACCTGGTGCCAGCCTCCTGTGTCTTTGGTGTGGTGCCCCTGCAGTGCCATGCCCCAGGCACAGCTCGTCTTCCACATTGCAGCAGTATTACCTTAACTTGAGCTTCTGAAGGACATTGAGGTGCTGGAGTGAGTGCAGATAAGGGTAATGAAGCTGGTGAAGGGTCTCAAGCACAAGTCCTACAAGGAGCAGCTGAGAGAGCCGGTGTTATTTAGCCTGGAGGAGGCTCAGGAGTGACCTTATCATTCTACAGCTACCTGAAAGGAGGTTGTATCAAGGTGGGGGTCAGCCTCTTCTCTCAGGCAACTAGGGCAAGAGGGCACAGTTTTAAGTTGTGCCGTGGGAGGTTAGGTTGGATATCAGGAAGAATTTCTTCACAGAAAGGCTGATTAGACTTTGGAAAGGACTTCCCAGAGAGGTGGTATTTAAGGAAAGACTGTACATGACCATGGTCTAGTTGGCATGGTGGTGTTGGGTATGGGTTGGACTCGATGATCTCAGAGGTCTTTTCCCACCTTATTGATTCTGTGATTCTTTGAAACCAAGATCCTTTCATGCCATACCTTGTCATCAGCTTTCTGCTGCGTATTGTACTGACACATTTGCTTTCTCACTGAGGATAGTACTCAGCACTCACTTTTATTGAGTCTCATCTTGTTGATCTCAGCTTCTCCTGTGTCTCAGTGTCATTTTGCCTCCTGACTTGTGTTTGATTGCAACTGTTCCCAATGTGGTGTCCTCTGAAAATTTTCTAGGTATAATCTCTGCTAGTCAGAACAAACTAACTCTTCTCTGAATATTTCTTTTTTAGTATCTCTTAGAAGTCAAGCATTTTGTAAGAGTCACTTATCTCTCAGATAAAGCCTGGCTTTCTGACCACTGGTATGATTACAGGAGTTATGACTGCTGTAATCTCTCACGATTAGGAGCCTGTAATACAGGTATAGAAGATGGAAGTTAGGTAGAACAGAGGACTGTGGATTAGAAAATGCTACTTTTCCTTGCAGCAGGCAGAAAATCATCTTTCCCACAATTTAAAACAATTAAATGGCCTTTTTCTTGTATAAATTTGTATACTTACTTGTATGTATAGAAGTAAAGGAAAACATAAAGTATAACTAGGGTGGGGATATTTTTCTATATTCATATCTAATATAGATGGTTTTGTACACTTTGAAATTAATACGATTTATTTAGCAGGGATACAGTTGAAAATGGTGCATATATCTGTGTGCAAACAATGCTTAGAAATACTGAGCACAGCAAATGAAACTAAATCACCTAGAGCTCTGCTTCTAGCTGAGTGATATATCAGTTCTTAACCTTTATTATAATTTACAAATACCATTGAAAGCTAATGTGTGTAATTTTGGAAAAAATGAACTTCTTTACTGATAAAGGCTGTTAGTTAATTAAAAAATAAATTCCGGAGGCCAACTACAAGTAAGAAATGCCAAAGGCAGAAAACTTAGTACTGCATATTCAGAAAAGTCATTTAATGTACACAATAAACATCAAAAGCAACTGAAAGAAGAAATGGAACATTTTCATCACAAAATAATATGCTACATTCATATGGAAATCTGGTTGATTCAAACTTAGCTGAATGTGCAACATCTGTAGGGACCAATCTTGAAAATGATTAAGAATGTGCTTGAATTCAAGCATGCAGATAGAAATTACTTGTATGCTTACAGCTGATTATTTTCTTAAATATTTGGATAACCAGAGCCATAGCTTGTTATCAAAGATTACCTAATTTACAACATAAATAACATTTTATTTTAATAAATGAATATTAAAATGGATTTGTTTTGGTTTTGATTTAAAAGATTTCTACAGTCTTTGGTTGATAGCTTATATGTCACAGTATTTACTAAGCAAAATTTTATTTATATGCAACTATTTTAACCATAGTAATTTAACAATTAGCTGTATGTTGAGCATAGGGGTATTTCAACCATAGTGGTCAAGGAAGAAAGATTTCACACATCTTCTTTCCTAGGAGGAAAAAAAAAAAAGAAATTATACATTTTGGTTTTGGATTGAGAAAAATATGTTAGAAAAATTAGTATGTGTGGAATGTGTCAGTGTCCTACTATAGAAACATAAATGACATAAAACCCAAAGAGAAATGGTTTTTTTCCCTCTTTTTTCGTTCTTATAGATCTTTCCTTTTTCTTGTAGACTTTTAACTCTTTTTTTTTATCATCACATTTTCATGTGAATGTGTAATCTTGTGCAAACTGAATGTAAAATGGTAGTGTGATTTGGAAATCAATGCCACTTATTTTTCTCAGGTATGAAATAGCTACACAAGATATGTTGCACAGAAAAATCAGACTGAAATTCAGGCTAAAAATCATAATCAGACTAAGGAAATAATTATTCTCATTACTAGGCCTTGAAGATTAGTATTCCATGATCTGAAAGAGTGTATCAATAAGTGCATATCAATTACAGGGAATTTTGAAGAAAGTTTGTACAGAAACTGTTTGAACATTTTATTTGATGTGTTTGTAAATATTAGAAGTGTTTGTATTTTAAATATAATATACTCCTCATTTCACCAATATTTACCTAAACAAAGTTCGTAGTGAGGCTTATTATATTATGCCCAAATTCTGCAGCCCACCTCAGCCTCTCTGGTGGAAATGATTTCTTTCATCTGTTTAAAAATTTTATGTCTAACCTCAAAAGAATAACCAGAGTTAATACAAAATACTGACATTTTCTTCATCTACTTTGTTAACGTTGAATGCTTTTTACATGCCTCCTTGGACTTCTCCGTGTGTTCAGGTCATGCTTCAGTCGCTGGGTTGAGGATATCAGACATCCAATGACCTAAAAAGGAGCTGTGTCCAAATCTAGTCCTATTCAGAGGACTGGGGGGACAACGTAGTGATTTGCCTAAAGGTCTCATGTATCTTGCAGCTCTGTCCCCTGGTAAAACCACTTGTAAGAGGTCACTAAACCTGTGCATCCCAGGGCCCCCTAGGAAGGGAAACCTAGGGAAGGGTGGCTTACAAGCTGCAGAGCAGCATGATGCCACCTAAACCCACCCCATCTTTCCTGGAGATTCCCTGTTGGGTTAGAGAATATGTAGCATTTTTTAATCCCTGCCTGCCTGCCTGACTGGTTCTTCCTTCCTCATCTGGAAATCCCTTAAACATGGAGGGAGACTTCTACAAAAATGGTTAGAAGCCTGTGAGAAGGATCTTTCTGTGGATGTTCCTGCAAGTTGAACTGCAGATTCTGTTTACACTGTTAATCTGAGCAGAGTGCTGCTAATGGAGAAACGTTATGATAAGACAGATCTTTCAAGTCCTGGTGCTGGTTCTCACTTTGCAGTCCTTTATCATGAAAAATAATACAAGCATGCTCTTAAACACCACTGAAAATAAAAGCATAATGAAGAGTGGCAATTCGAGTTCGTTCATGATGAATAAACACAAAGACATGGTTTTTGATGCCAAGACAGTGGACTGTGGTTGTGAGGCAATTCTTTTCCAAAGAAATGTTTATCATCACGTTACCTCATCCCAGATGTTACTTAAAGATCGAGGGTTTCACAGTTAAATTAGTCAAATCATTTAATATCATTGTGTCTGTATTTGCAGGCTAGAACATTGAGTGTTTGTTTCTGTTTTCCATAACGCTTCTGTTTGTCTTAATCAATATGTTGTTTCTCAGGAGGCAGTCTTGTATATACCATGACCGAATTCTGTTCCAAGTGAAGTTTATTGCAATGTAAACACCTGTTAGGAAGAATTTTGTTTTCCATGAAAGGACAAAGAATGAACTTACCACTTAGAAATTCTGCTTATACAGTTGCAGTGCTTTCCCAGCTACATATTCAATGAATTCAGCACTCTCTGGGTCTAAATTGGGAGGAACTTTAATGGTGAAAGTAGGAGAAGTCAGAATATTCACATCTACCACAGTTTCATTTTTACTGGAGGGATCCCCAGGTACCACCTAGAAGAAATCAGTACTTTAGACACTACAAACTACTGAGTACTTTCAGTTTTGTTTATACCTACTGTGCCCACTGTCTTTAATAAGGGAAAATTAAATAGAGGAATAATTTAGACCTCTCTGCTTTCTTTAAATTGCTTTCTTCTGAAAAGACAGTGGGTGTCTGAATTAATGCCAAAGCTTATTGTAGGTGGTGGAAAGAGCTGACATGGCAATGCAAGACCGTATTAAAGCACTACATGTTAATATTTATACCATGAACTCCATCTATAAAGAACTTCTCCTAATGAAAACTTGTAAATTGTCCCACT